TAAAAACAGTGACAACAGTTTAACAAAAATAAAACTGGGCAAAAAAAAAATACTTTGGTTCCTCAAAAATGTTTTTTAAATAAATCCTGGATCAGTTTTTGAATCTGTTTACTTTTTCTTTACAAGGTGGGACATCTAACTGAGCATGTACAGTGTGAGTGTCATCACTCTACTCTGTTTCTGTTTGGAGAAAAATGACCTGTTGCAACCGTMCCTTGTTGCTACTGTCCCCGGTCTCCCCTATTTATTGCCAACCAGAAGTATTACATACTAAAATAGAAGTGCTACAGATAACGAGTTCCAGCACTAATTTTTGTACATACTTATGGGAAAATAGCAGCTGTGTAAAGATTTATGACATTTAATTCTGTTTCTCCAAAATGAGGATGTTCAAAAATTTATCTACCACAGGTAAGATATTATTTGTTCTTAACTTTTCTGAAACTCATCTAAATCTGAACCTGAAATTTAAATGCTACAATTGCTTGAAGCCTGAGATGCTCCATCACTCAACTTCTTCCCTTTAAAAATTAAATTAAACTAAAGTCAGACTTTCGCTCGTGAATCCAGTCAGAAATAAAGGTTGTTCAAAGAGCTACCAGAGGTCAGATAGTTCTAGCTCTRCATAATCTTTCCAAAGCACTCCACGAGAACAATTCTGAACTAGTTTCAGTTTGTTTGAAGCAACCAAACAGCTGATTGCTCTGTTGGTTCTGCACTATGTTCCTACAGACTCAGAGTCACTTCAGATGGATCAGATTTCAGCTCCGGCTGAGTTTGTCTCTGCTGTTCAGCACACCGTCTTGTTGCTGGAAGAATCGGTGGAGGATGACAGCAGCATCTCGTTCTTCTTGTTGTCCTTCGACACGTTTTCAGAGTAAGCGTGTTTCCTCTTGTTGGACCTGTTCAGGCAGCGTGCGAGCGCCTTGACGATGAGGTAACCCAGCTCGGCCACGTTCAGCACCATGCAGGTGGCCGACGAGGCCACCATGAAGATGGTGAAGACAGTCTTCTCCGTCGGCCGAGAGATGAAGCAGTCCACCTTGTTGGGGCAAGGCCACTGCTCGCACTTCACAAGTCGGGGCATCTGGAAGCCGTTGTAGACGGAGTACAGGGCGTACATGAAGCCACCCTCAAAGATGAGCCGGAAAAACAGGCTGCAGGTGTAGGTCCACCACAGCGGGCCTGTGATTGGCAGACGTCTCCTCTTTAGGATCTCCAGATCGGTGTTTTCAGTGCCGTTGGCGGACAGCATGGTCCTCTTGTCGCCACGTTTTCTGTAGGCCACGTGCATGGCTACAAGCAGAGCTGGAGTGGAAACGAAGATGAGCTGCAGGCACCACAGGCGGATGTGCGACACGGGGAAAAAGTGGTCGTAGCAGACGTTCTTGCACCCGGGCTGCTGCGTGTTGCAGGTGAAGTCCGACTGCTCGTCTCCCCACACGCTCTCAGCGGCCAGCACCAGGATGGTGATGCGGAAGATGAAGAGCACAGAAAGCCAGATCTTCCCCAGGCTGGTGGAGTGTTTGTTGACGCCCCCCAGCTGGGCGTAGAGCGCCCCCCAACTCATTGTGGCGAGGACGGAGGATGCTGGAAGCTCAGGACAGCCTGAAGATTCAGAGTCAGATCTGCTGCTGAGCTCTGTTGGAAAAAAAAAAACAGTTTGACACTGTAACGTGAAAAACAAGATAGACTTTAAATCTGTTTCAAGGGCAGGACAAACAAACAGACCCACATTCCAGAACAGAAAAGTTCTTTGATGAGTTTAGTGCAGCAGAGTCAAACAGTTGTAGATTTTTAACCATCAGCATTATGGGGTGCCGTTCGTAAAGTTACAGTCAAAAATTACCACCAATAAATTTTTATTT